AAAAAAATTTTTAGAAATAAATTACAAAAAATTAGGTAATAGATTAGGTAATTCTAAATAGCATATTGATAACAACCATTGGAGCATAAGAATATATATAGATAGATAATTGAAACTTAAAATTATTGGCTAAATTGTGTTACTTGACATAGGCTTATTTTAAATTTAAGCCACTAATAGAAGAAAGTAGGTGAATCCTGAAGGTATTTAACTTATTGACAAGTTGGAGAAATTTCCTGAGGTTTATTATTTCCGAATGATGCCACTCAAAATAATAAATTTATCTGAGACTGTGTCTTAGGTAATATACTAATGGATTTTGCTCTTATATCCTACATAATATTCTTATATGTAATTTTTTGAAAGGTAGGAGAAGATAAATCTCTGAAGTGACTTTGAATCAGGAGTCTATGATTATATTTAGCTTTAGCTACTAAAAGTAAGTAATGGGAATAATTCCTCTGCTCACTTAATACTAATTCAGTGCTTGTACTGAAGAGCAATGACGTCACAAACATGTCCAAAAAAGCATGGTATGGATCAGTGCTACTGAAAGAATGTCTGCAGGCTATTCAAGATAAGTATAAAAGTTGAAATTAAGCATTTAGAATTTTTTTTTAAAGATTTATTCATGCATACAAGAACTGGGGTGCAGGCCAGAGTTCAGAGGATTCACCAGATACAGAGTGGGGAACAGAACAGCCAGATCCAGTGAAACCCGCTGCTGAGGGGAGCAGTGGGCAAGCAGGAAAGGTCTGCTGCATCATGTGGGTCAGCTACCTGGCCGGGAACTAACTCTTTTTGCAGTGGCTGCTGATAGCTTTGCAGTGCTGCACTTTAATCCATTGTGCCACCAGGGAGGCCCCAGCATTCAGAAATTTTTAACAATTTGACATTCCTGCAACATCCAAGCTCACCATCATTTTTCTTCTAATTTTTTTCTATTGTGTTGTTTAAAACATAGCAATACATAGTGGAATGAATACCTTTAAACACACCTATATACCCCAAAACTGGCCCTTTCACCACAGGTAATCTGAGAAGCACTGGTCTAGATAACCCTTAAATTCAAATGATTACCCCTGTAATGAATAGCAATGATCTCAACTTTGTACATGAATAACAAGGCACATATTAAGTTAGTGTTTTTTTCTTTATAGCATGGCCAAACGGAATGGCAGATGTTCCTTATACTACTCCTTTCTTTCCCTTTTTTAGAGAGATTTCCCCAGTTGTTTTTTTTTTTTTTTTTTAAGATTTTTTTATTTGTGCATACAGAGCTGGGGTAGGTACAAGCCAGAGGTTTAGGGGCGCTGAGAGGCTTCACCAGAGACAGAGTGGAGAGCAGAACAGCAGAACAGGCAGATCTACAAAGTACACTGCTGAGGGGAGCGGGTGAGGAGAGGTCTGCCACACCATGTGGTCACCTCTGGGGGCAGGCAGGAATTCATGCTGAAGTGGCTTTAGCTTCTTAGTGCTGTGCTTTAACCCCCTGCGCCACCAGGGAGGACCTCCCCAGTTATTTTTATAAAGGAATCTTACATGTAACTAAGGAAAACTCATTCTTAGAAAATATCTAGTATTTTTAGTTACCAATGTAAAATTGTTTTAGCTTGGCTCTTTAGAGGTTTCAGAAAAAAAGTTATTTAACTTTGGATATATTAATCTAATTATGTCATCCTTTGGTTTATGTTAGTTCTTAAGTGATCTCATTCAACACTCTTAAGTAATGTGATCTTTATTAGATATGGTATACCAAAGCTATTCAGAAAGCCATTAAAGAAGTGAAATCACTTTATTTATGTAGTAATAGATGTTGAGGACTGAATCTTCGACTGATAAAACATTCAGAATTATAATTTTACTTGAAATACTATCACATATAGGTAAATTCACTAATTTGGATAACCCCATTTACTGAGTTACTGCAAAATTTAAAAAATATTGTTTTTGTGAAATGGAGCGTTTCATTTGTTCAGACCTTTTCTGCCAAGCATTGGCTAGAGATTAGGATATAGTAGATACCAATGTTTTCTGCCTTTGTGTACCTTAACTTTATTGGGGAAGATACCCATTAAGCAGTTAATTGTAAGGGAAAGAGAATGTTTTGAGCTGTATGGTAATACTTACAAGGAGAACTTAGCCTAAGCAGACAATCAGGAATAGACAAATGTAAGAGAAAATGCTATTAGAAAATAAGCAGCCTCTACCAGAGAGGGATGGTAGGAGGTAGAGAGCAAAGAGGGAGGTATGCCAAATGGACTGTGGGCAAAGGAGTATGGGTAATTTGATGGTGGGCATGGTATGAAAACATCTGAAGAGGTATGAATCTTTATGCCTAAAGCATGTATGGTGTTTTAAATCTATTTTTATTCTATTTAAAAATACATAATTAAAAAAATAAAATGTGAACCTTCCTCATAGTAAAAGAACTCTGCCTTTTTTTTTAGAAAAATCAGAATCTTTTACAAATAACTAGAATTAGCAATATTGAAGGTTCCTTCTGAAATATAGATTTGACCGTGTCATTCTTTTACTTTCCCTATCAGTATTTCCCACCCAACACAAATACATTGACTATCAGATAAATTCAGAATTGATTAAATTGATATCTAAGACTTGTCACATGTTGTTTTCCAAACTCCTATCTTGCCTTCAACCTTTTAGTCATCTGTCTTTGCTCATGCTATTTTCCTTGTCTAGAATGTTCTTCCTTTTCCATTCTCCTTCTGATATGTCTTATCCTTTAAGTCTATTTAAATATCATACCTTCTTAAGGTCTTTCCTACCCCTTTTTCTTACAAATCAATCATTTATTGTTGTACTATCAGTTACTTATTGCATAGTCTATATGACATTGTGTTATAATTTTCAGTGCAAAAACTATGTAATCTCTCTTAGTGATTGGCAGTAAGTGAACAGAAGTTGGTTAACTATTAAAGCTTCTAATTTGTTACAGGGGCATTTATGCAATGAACCTTTGGATATGTACAGTTATTTACACAACCAAGGGATTGGTGTTTCACTAGCTCAGTTCTATATCTCCTGGGCTGAAGAATATGAAGCTAGAGAAAACTTTAAGAAAGCAGATATGATATTTCAGGAAGGCATTCAACGACAGGCTGAACCACTGGAAAAACTGCAGTCTCAGCACCGGTAAACTATTTCTCTGGGAGTTGTCTTCACCCTTTAAAATTAAGTTATAAGTGGTCATTTTACATCAGAATAAAATGGTCTCAATGACTTAGTTACAATTCATATTTTTAAACCATTTAAATGATTTAAAATCTACTCCTGTGTGTGGTTTTTTAAAATTTTTACAAATCACGAGACGCATGTAATCGTTTTTATGATGATCAAGATAAAAGCTAATTCCATCATTCTAGAATTTTCTTGTGCTATTTCTTAATAGTTTACACCAACTCTCATTCTCAACTGACATCCACTGATAATATTTTACAGTCCTGTAGTTTTTCCTTTTCTACAATGTCATATAAATGGAATCATTTGAATATGACTTCTTTCATTTAGTATTTGAATTTTAAAAGTTCTTTATTCTGAATACAAGTCTTTTGTCAGATATGAGACATATAAGTCTCACAATTTAAGTCTGGTCTATTTATCCTCCTAATAGTCTCTTATAAAACAAAGACTTAATTTTAAAAAGGCTAACTTAATATTTATTGTGTGAAATATGCTTTTGGTATATCTGAGAACTCTGTCCAGTCCAAGGTCACAAAGATTTTCTCCAAGATGAAAACATAGAGGTTTTATTGTTTATCTTAAAAAGTTTTATTTTACATTTAGATCTGTGTTTCCATTTTTTTCTGTGTCACTTGTTCAACAACTAACTTTTCTCCATTGAGTTGCCTTTGTACCTTTGTAAAAATAGATATCTCTGTATAAGTTTATTTCTTTTATTGTTCTGTTGATCTGTGCCTGTTCACTGTGTATATCCTACCTAGATTATAGTAGCTTTATAGTAAATCTGGGAATCAGGTAGTGAGTCCTTTTGTTGGTTGTTTTAGTTCTTTCTCTGACTCTAAAAATTTTAGAATTGATTGTGTGAGGTTTGGATTAGTGTTGAGCATGAACATAGTTTATTTCTCTAGTTACTTAGAGCTTTGATTTTTTTTTTTTGTTTGAGCATTGTTATACTTTCAATGTTGGGGCCATTTCATTTAAGTTTATGAGATTATGGGGATAGTATTCCTTTGTTACCTTTTAGTGTTTGTAGGTTATATAGTGATTTTTCCCCTTTCATCCCTGATATAGTAATTTGTTTTTTTTTCTCAGTCACTGTAGCCAGAAATTAATAGAAATGTTGATTTTATTGATCTTTTTGACTACTAGCTTTTGATTTCATAGATTTTTTTTCTTCTTACTGATTTTGTTCTTAATTTTACTCTACTATTTCCTTCTTGTGATTAAGTTTTGGGTTTAATTTGCTATTATTTTTCTAAGTTAAGGTGCCAGCTTAGTTTATAGTTCTAGATAGATCTCTTATAACATAAAAATTTCTTCTGTGCACAAAACAAGTTTTGATATCTTTTTCATTTTCCTTCACTTGAAAACATTTTCTAAGGCCCTCCCTGGTAGCACAAAGTGTTAAAGGGCAGCACTATGAAGTTACCTGCAGTCACTGGGAGGTGACCTACATGGCACGGCAGACCTCTCCTGTCTCTCCGGCTGCTCCTCTCAGCAGTGTTTCAGTCTGCCTGTTCTGTACCCCACTCTGGCTCTGGTGAATCCTCTTTATCCCCTGCACCTCTGGCCTATATTCCCATTCTTGTATGCATAAGTAAATAAACATTTTTTAAAAACACACACAAACATTTTCCATTGTCTTCAGCAAATTTGCAGTCAATTGGATGGTTTCTCCCCTATTTGTAAAGTTTTGACTTTTCCTTGGATGTAGTGATTTTTTTACCCTTTAATAGTGGTTTTCATTTATTTGATTATATGTATGTAGGTATGATTATCTTTGTATTTTGATCTATTTGGTGTTGTATGGGCTTTTCCAATTTCTAAATGTGTACATTTCACAAAATTTGAAAAGTTTTCAGTCATTATTTCAAAAAAATTTTTTCTGCCTCTATCTCTTTTAGAACTTCAGTTACACAGATACCACCCCCTTTGATAATTGTATCACAGGTGTCTCCCTAAAGCTCTGTTCATTTTTTTTAAAGATTTATTTATTTATTCGTACAGAACTGGGGTACAGGCCAGTGATGCGGAGGGTGAGAGGATTCACCAGAGACAGAGTGGGGCACAGAACTGGCAGATGGATGAAGTACACTGCTGAGGGAGCAGCGGGCGGGCCAGGAGAGGTCTGCCACGCCATGTGGTCACCTCCGGGGCAGGCGGGGATCGAACTCATACGGAAGTGGCTTAAGCTTCTTAGTGCAGTGCTTTAACCCGCTGCGCCACCAGGGAGGGCCCTAAAGCTCTGTTCATTTTATAATTTTTTTTCCCTCTCTATTATTTGGACTGGTCTTCAGGTTCATTTATTCTTTTCTTTGTCATATGCATTCTGACACTGAATCCATCTAGTAAATTTTTCATTTCAGATACTGTTTTTCAGGTCTAAAATTTCTATTTTATTTCTAGTTTCTCTGCAAAGAATGACTGTTTTCATTTATTTAAAGTATCTAGGATCTTCCATGGTGGTGTAACAGATTAAAGCACAGCACTATGAAGCTATCTGCAGTCACTGCAGCAGGAGTTTGATCCCTGGCCAGGGAGGTGACCCACATGGTGTGACAGACCTCTCCTGACCCACCTGCTGCTCCCATCAGCAGTGTTTTTCAGCCAGTCTGCCTGTTCTGCTCCCCACTCTGTCTCTGGTGAATCCTTTCTCTCTTCCCACACCTCTGGCTTGTACTCCAGTCCTTATATGCATAAATAACTAAATCTTAAAAAAATAATAAATTAAATTTAAAAAATATATATATTTAACCTATGTTTAATGGAATATAGTTATAATGCTGCTTGAAAATCTATCTGAACTACTCAATTTCGCTGTCATCTTGATGTTGATATCTGTTGATACATATTTTCTTGATTCTTCATATGGTAATTTTGGATTATATTTTGGACATTTGTCCTGCTACTATATGACTAGACCCTGGGTACTATTAGCTGTTGTTCTATGGAGAATGTTGATTTTTTTTTTTTTTTTAAGTAAGCAAGCAACATTTAGCTACTGCAAGCTATGTGGGTAGTACCACTTCCTATGTGGGTAGTAGTTCCAATGTCAGTTCAGTTTTTAAGACTTTTGGGTCTATCCCATGTATAGACTTGGGGAATGGTTATATTATAGTTTAGTTTTTAAAGCCTTTGGTCTGCACTTTGCATGTATAGTCCAGGGTTTGTGCCAATTCATCTATAAAATTAGGAAATACTCTGCTTCAGCTTATCTTCTCCAGTATTTCTTGCATACTTTTTGGCCCTCAGAGTTCTCTTTTCCCAAAAACCCCTAGCCAGAAAGATGAGGTTTCTTTAGGAATTTTAGCTTCCCATACTGTTCAACTGTTTCAACTGTTCAAAACCATGAGAGAAACAAGAAGAAGGAAAAAAAAAAAACAGGAAACAACCCTTCATGGGTTGTCTCTTCAAGTTTGACTCCTCTCCACAGTCCACTTGCTTTTGTTTACTTTGAGACTCCTTGCTTGCTTTTTTTGTCTTTTTTCAGTTTTTTTTTTTATTCTAATTGGTGAGAAAAAGGAAGGGTATGGTGGACTTATCACACCTTGGTCAGCACTGCAGTTTATTCAGGTTTTTTAACCCTATTGATAATACTTACAGGAAGGTTAGCTCTCAGTCTTTACCAGCTTTGTTGATGTAAAATGTCACATTGGATACATCCTTATTTCATATTGTTTGGGGAAAACATTGTCTAGGGTGTGAGGGGTGTGTCTAGAGAAAGGTATATAAACAGTAACCAAGTAGATATAGCAAGATGTCAACAATTGGTGAATCTAGGTGAATGGTGTATGGGTGCTCTTTTACATTCTGAACTATTTTGTTAGTTTAGAAGTTTTATAATAAAAAAAAATTGATGGAAATGCCAATGGTTAATGGAGATCTTCAGAGGATTTTATTATTTTTAAAAAGATTTACTAATTTATGCATCTAAGAACTGGGGTATAGTCCAGAGGTTGGGGGTGGGGAATGAGAGGATTCACCAGATTGACTGAAATATACTGCTGAGAGGAGCAATGGGCAAGACAGGAGAGGTTTGCTGCACCATATGGGTCACCTCTCTGGCAGTGGAACATACTCATGCTGTAGATCCCAATAGCTTCCTTTTGCTTTGCTTTAACTCCATGTGTCACCAGGGAGACTCCCTTCAGAGTATTTTTAAAAAGTAAAACTTAGGCATTTAAAAGAGGAGCTACCCCTCAGCAGTGTACTTCAGTACATCTGCCTGTTTTACTCTCCACTGTGTCTCTGGTGAATTCTCTCACCCCCTAGCACCTCTGGCCTGTACCTCAGTTCTTGGATGCATAAATAAATCTTTTTGAAAAAAAATAAAAGGGGATCTAAATCATCCACTCCTTTGGAAGGTGTGATTTTATTCCTAAGGGAATAAACACTTCTTTGGCTTATTTCTGTAGATTTCTTGCCCCACCTTACTCTTTTCCCTTGCTTGTTTTAACAAATTGGAGATTTTGACTCTGGTGAATAGTGTTCAACTTAGCAAAAATCAATTGTCCATATTTTTACTTTAGACAATTCCAAGCTCGAGTATCTCGGCAAACTGTGTTGGCCCTTGAAAATGAAGATGAAGATGAAGTTTTTGGATCTTCTTTACCACAACGAAGCACACTGGCTGAACTAAAAAGCAAAGGTAAAAAGACAGCAAGAGCTCCAATCAGCCGTGTAGGAGGTGCTCTCAAGGGTAAGTTTGTTAAATGTTATTATGGGAAATTCTTAGTTTCAGGTGGTAGGCAAATTATATAGAGATAATGTATACATATATATGTGGACACTGTCCAGTTTTCTGAATACTAGGTAGCAAAGTAAAAGAAGTATAAGGAGAGCTGAGATCACACAATGCAATAAAGACAAACCTGTCAGCAAGGTATTAAGAAAAACCTAATGTGAATATTAAGATTATCTGAGTTTGAATTATTAGCTAAAAGAAGATGTGTGATAATAAGGCAAGTATTGTCAAAATAAAGCTTACATATACCAGAGTCTCAGAATTTATTTTAAAGTATTAGTTATTAAGGAAAATTTTAGGTTCACAGCAAAATTTGAGTGGATGTACAAAAGCACAGTATGCTTTTAACAAAATTTTTAGTGTTAAAAATTTTTTTCATGCTTAGACATGAAAACCATAATTCCTTTCTTATCCCTTTTCTGGTATCAACATGTCAATATACAAAATGTCCCTTACAGATTTAGGGTATGGGGAAGTTTTTTTTTTCTAAAAAGGTTTATTTATTCATTCATTCATTTATGCATGCATGCATACATGTGTACAAGAACTGGGGTATATAGGTCAGTGGTGTAGACAGGAGGCGGAGAGGAGGGACTGGGGTAAGAGGATTCACCAGAGACAGAGTGGGGAACAGAACAGGCAGACTGACTGAAATACACTGCTGAGGGGAGCAGTGGGTCAGACAGGAGAGGTCTGCTGTGCCATGTGGGTCAGCTCCCTGACTGGGGATCGAAATCATGCTGCAGTGGCTGGTGATAGCTTCATGGTGCTAAAACCTAATCCCTTGCACCATCAGGGTGGTCTCAAGTACAGTTATGAAAAGTTATTTTTTAAAAAAAATCTCTCTGGGCCCTCCCTGGTGGCGCAACAGGTTAGGACGCAGCACTGCAAGCTAGCCACAGCTGCTTCAGTGCGAGTTCAAACCCCCACCTCGGAGGTGACCCACATGACGCAGCAGACCTCCTCTGATCCTTCCCACTGGAGGATCAGAGTGTACTTCATCAACCTACCTATTCTGCTCCCCACTCTGTCTGGTGAAGCCTCTCACCATCCCTGTACCTCTGGCCTGCACCCCAGTTCTGTATGAATAAACAAATCTTTAAAAAAAAAAAAATCTCTCTGATCCTGTGATTGTAGAATAAGTTTTCTTGATTTGAGGGAAAATCAAATATACCTTATGTGATATTTAAGTTGATAATTAAAGATTTTACATGAAAGTTTAATACTTTCCTCCTAGCTCCATGCCAGAATAGAGCACTGCAGAATTCACTTCCTCAACATATGCAAAATAATTCTAGAATTACTATTTTTGATGAAAATGCTGATGAGGCGTCTAGATCAGAGTTGTCTAAACCTATTGTCCAGCCATGGATCGCACCCCCTGTCTCCAGAGCCAAAGAGAATGAAATGCAAGCAGGCCCATGGAACACAGGCAGGCCTTTGGAGTACAGGGTAAGAACTCTTATACCCAGCCTATTTGCTATCATAACAAAGACTTCTGATTTAGATTAGAGGAGTACTTATAGTACCTCTTTTAATTCTTAAATAAATAATGTATGGTCTGCATATGTTGTGTGAGAATATGGAACTCTGGTAATTTTAGTTTTTCATCACCAGGCTCGCGGCAATACAACTTCTGTGACAGCTGTACCCTCTGTGCTTCCCACTTTTACTCCATACGTGGAAGAGACTGTGCAACAGCCAGTTATGTGAGTTTGCCTTCCAGCTATTTTTTTTTTTTTTTGTAAAGCTTTATTTATTTATGCATACAGAACTGGGGTATAGGCCAGAGGTGCAGGGGCAGTGAGAGGATTCACCAGAGACAGGGTGGGGAGCAGAACAGGCCGACTGATGAAGTACACTGCTGAGGGGAGCAGCAAGAGGTCTGCAGTGCCATGTGGGTCACTTCTGGGATGAGGATCTGAACTCATGCTGAAGTGGCTTTAGCTTCTTAGTGCTGTGCTTTAATCTGCTGCACCACCAGGGAGGGTGCAGCCTTCTAGCTGTTTTGTGGTGTGAATTATAAAGAGTGAGGAAGGGCAACTATCATAGTTCCCCAAAACAATTTTTTTCTTTGTGGAGATGAAAAAAATTGCACATAGTTTCATGTTTCCTTTAGGCCTGTATTCCTTTGAATATGCTAAGACTATAAGATTTACAATAATGGTAAGATTTTTATTAAGGGATAATTCTAATCATTTTGTATTGTAGTTAGATTATCACTGACTAAAATGGGATGTTTACCTTTGTTATTGACAGTAACTAGAAGTTATATTAGCTTTTCCTTTTATATTGTTTTTTCTTTTAGGTGTCTTATTCTTCCTAACCCTTACTATTTTCATTTATTTAAAAATGTATGGTAGATGATAATAAGATATCTGGCAGTCTGAGGTTTAGTCTAATATATAATGTTGCATAGTTCTAACACTAGGTTGTAGATAAGCTTCTTGAGCAGAAATTCTGTTATAACAAGACATGAATTATGTGCTGAGAGGTGCATCTTTGGAGTCTTCTTACTTTTTTTTTTTTAAAGATTCATTTGTATAGACAGAACTGGGGTATAGGCCAGAGGCTCAAGGGCAGCGAGAGGCTTCACCATAGACAGAGTGGGGAGCAGAACAGGTAGATCAACGAAGTACACTGCTGAGGGGAGCAGTGGGCGGGTCAGGAGAGGTCTGCCACGCCATGTGGTCACCTCCTAGAGCAGGCGGGAACCAAACTCATATGGAAGTGGCTTTAGCTTCTCATTGCTGTGCTTTGACCTGCTGTGCCACCAGGGAGTGCCAGAGTCTTCTTACTTTTAAGAAAATCATATTATCTAAAGAAATTGATAGCATACATTTAGCAGCCATCTTTATGGTCCCTTCCATCATTCTTTCCTGGTATCACTGAAATAATTTTCTTAACTATAATTTTACATCCCCATCCTTTTTCTTTGCTGTCTAGGCCTGAGCTGCAAATTTGATTATGTCATTTTCCCAGTCAGAATCACTTGCTAGCTCTCCATAACCTTTGGGATGAAACCCAAACTCCTCAACCTTAACTATGAGATTTGTTATGATTTGGCCTGTTAATATTTCCAATTTTTCCCAGATGTATGGTGATACTAGACTGTTCTCAAATTCCTGAACTTGTCTAGGCTAGTCAACCTTTATTCATTTGGGTTGTTTCTTCATTTTGGCTGTTATTTTCTGAACATTTGTGAATATGTTTGTTTCTATTTAAGCATGTTTTCATTTCTTGTGGATATAGATCTAGAAAAGGGAGTTATGGATATAGTAACTCTTTAACATTCTGAGGAGTCATCAAACTGTTTTACAGTAGGCTGTACCATTTTATTTTCCTATATTCCCATAACATCTGAGGGTTCCAATTTCTCCACATTCTTGTCTATTTTTTTGTTGCTGTTGTTGCCATCATAATGGGTATCCCATTGTGATTTTTATTTGTATTTTCGTGGTGACTAATGAAATTGAGCATCTTTTTATAGGCATGTGGGCTGTTTGTATATTTTTAGAGAAATACCTTTCAAATCCCTTGGAATATTTGTCTTTTTGTTGAGCTATAAGAGTTTATATATCCTGGATCTGATCCCTTCTCCGATAAATTATTTGTAAATATTTTCTCCTAGTCTGAATGTTTTTTGTTTTGTTTTGTTTTTTCATTTTCTTGATAATATATTTTGAACTCCAAAAGGCTTTTTTATTTTGTTATTTTTTCCTTTGTCTTTTTGTGTTGTATCTAAGAAATTTTTTCTAACTCAACATCATAGATTTACTCCTACATTTTCTTCTGAGAGCTTTATACTTTTACATTTAGATCTGTGGTCCATTCTTAGCTAATGTTTGTGCATGGTATAAGAAAGGAGTCCAGCTTCATTCTTCTATAAGTCAGATAACCACTGTCCCAGAACAATTAGTCATTAAAGTTTTCTTCGTTGAGTGGTGTTGGTCCTTTTTTGAAAATTCATTGTCTATAATATCTGGGTCTATTTCTGGCCTCTTGCTTCTATTCCACTGATCTATGTGTATGTTCTTTTTGTCAGTACCACTAGTCTTTATGGTTGTATATTTGTACTAGCTTTTGAAATCACACCTGTGACGATATTCTTCTTTTTAAAGATTGTTTTGACCATTCTGGTTCCTTCACAATTCTACATGAATTTTAGGATCAACTTGTCAATATCTACAAAATAGCCAACAGGATTTTACTACAGATTATCTTGTCTGTCGGTCAGTTTAATAGATATTGCCTTCTTAATAATATTGCCTTTCCCATGAATATGAGATGTCTTTTATTTATATCTTCTTTCATTAATTTCAATAATGTTTCAGTTTTTACAATACAAGTTGTATACTTTCTAAAAATATTAGTACACTTATTTCTTAGAGCTATTTTATCTTCGTAGAAAAATGATACAGAAAATACAAAGTTTCCAAATACTCCCTTCTCCCCATCCTGTACCCAGCTTCCCTATTATTAATATCTTGAATTATGTGATACCTTTGTTATAAATGATGAACCAATTTCTGATCTATTATAATTAACAAGAGTTCATAGTTTACATTAGGGATCACTCTAATGTTTTTTATAGTTCTGTGAGTTTTGATAAATAATATCATGTATCATTATAATATCATACAGAATATTTTTACTGCCCTGAAAATTCCCCATATTCTAGCAATTTGTCCCCACCCACCTATCAAGCCCCTCGTACCCACTGTTCTTTATATTATCTTTATAGTTTTGGCTTTCTATAGCAAATCATAAAGTTGAAATCAATCATACAAGTATGTAGGCTTTTCAGACTGGTTTCTTTCACTTAGCAATATCTATGTAAGGTTCGTTCATGGCTTTCATTTTATTTTAGTGCTGAATGATAAACCCTTGTATCGATGTTTATCCATTTATAAATTGCAGGAAATTTTGGTTACCTGCCGGTTTTGACAGTTCTGAATGAGGTTTTATAGGCATTCATCTGCAAACTTTTGTGTAGATGCAAGTTTTCAATTCATTTGGATAGATTGAATTATTAGATTAAGTTTAGCTTTGTAAGAAAGTGCCACATTCTCAAAATGATTGTGTCATTTTGTATTCTTGCTAGCAATAAATGAATTTTCCTGTTGCTCCACATTTCAGCTTTTTTTTTTTTTTTTTAAAGATTTATTTATTTGTGCATACAGAACTGGGGTACAGGCCAGAGGCTCAGGAGCGGTGAGAGGCTTCACCAGAGACAGAGTGGGGAACAGAACAGGCAGATCGACAAAGTACACTGCTGAGGGGAGCAGCGGGCGGGTCAGGAGAGGTCTGACACACCATGTGGTCACCTCCGGGGCAGGCGGGAATCGAACTCATGCTGAAGCAGCTTTAGATTCTCAGTGCTGTGTTTTAACCCACTGCGCCACCAGGGAGGGCCCCATTTCAGCTTTTGATGTTGTCAATATTTTAGTTTTTAGCTATTCTAATAGTTATATGATAGTATCTTCTTTTAACTTACAACTCTTTAATAACATTTTGAGTATCGTTCTTATGCTGATTTGTTCTCTAGATTTTCTTAGGTAAGGTTATGTGTTCACACCTCCCTTTAAAATTTTTATTCTGATGTCTTTTATTCTTTTTTGATCCTTTATAGTTAGAATTGTTTTAATTTCACAGTCAGCTTGTTCATTGCCAGGGTATAAAATATAATTGATTTATATATTGATGTTATAGTAAGGTTAATTTCCTTTAACACATTGCTTAAATAAGATATGATAATAATATTTGTTTTCATTTACAAGAGATATAAGCTATGTAACAACTCTAACTTGTGACTGATTTCCTTTCTTGTTATAATAGAGTAGTACTCAGAATACACTTAATTGTTGGTGACTCATGTAAATTATTTTAAACTTCTCAGACTCACTTGGTTTTGGTTTTGGAGTCAGTCATAGAGTCTTGCTGCTGACATTGTCTCTTTTTTGTCAAAATATGAAAGTAACTCATTTGACCTAATGATAAATAATAATCACTTTGCTTCTTTTAGGACACCATGTAAAATTGAACCCAGTATAAATCGTATTCTAAGCACAAGAAAGCCTGGCAAGGAAGAAGCAGATCTCTTACAAAGAGTTCAAAATCATCAGCAAGATTCTGAGGAGAAGAAAGAAAAGATGATGTATTGTAAGGAGAAGATTTATGCCGGAGTGGGAGAGTTCTCTTTTGAAGAAATCCGAGCTGAAGTTTTCCGGAAGAAATTAAAAGAGAAAAGGGAAGGTATATGGATTGATTCTTGTAAAACAATTTAACTGGTTGTGGAAGGTTGAATTGATAATATGCCTTTGAGAATAATTGTGTGTTGTTTATATATTTATGTGATGTTTCATGATTCCTACTCATTCTCTGTTTGAGCTGAGCTCCCATTGCAGCTTTCCATGAAATCATCCCATGGGGAAAATAAGTCTCTGTTCAAAAGTTAAGGAGAAGAAGCTCTCAGTTGTAGGAACAATTCATAATCCCCAACACAGTAGGCAAATAACTATGATCCCTCACATGTATGCTTGTCTATGCCATGTCTCTCCTGCCCATCGAGTGCTTTTCCTATTGTCTGAACTACTTCAATAACTTTTGATAGCTTGCCTTCTTTAAGGGATTATTTAGACCAATATACACAACATATATTTCTCTCACTGATGATAAATTTGTATTTCTTAAAGCCATCTTTCTAAATTCAGGGAGGCTTCACTTGTAAATTGAGGCTGGAAAAAAATAGGAGTTTAGGGCCTTCCCTGGTGGCGCAGCGGGTTAAAACACGGCACTGAGAAGCTAAAGCCACTTCCGCATGAGTTCGATTCCCGCCTGCCCCGGAGGTGACCACATGGCATGGCAGACCTCTCCTGACCTGCCCGCTGCTCCCCTCAGCAGTGTACTTCGTGGATCTGCCTGTTCTGCTCCCCACTCTGTTCCTGGTGAATCCTCTCACCCTCAGCATCTCTGACCTGTACCCCAGTTCTGTATGAATAAATAAATAAATCTTTAAAAAAAAAAAATAGGAGTTTAAAATAATTCTGCTTTCTTCTACCATACAGGCAGTCTGATCCCACATACTCTCAACATTCTTTCTGTTAAAATTAACATTCCTTTGTTCCTATTAGAGGAATGCTCTTTTTTCCCCCTTTGTACTGTAACATACTCATTATGCAAATATACTATTATGTTTTCTCTTAAAAGTCTTATGTTATCTTTACGTTCTTGTCTAGCCATTATCCCATTTAAAAATACTTTTTTTATTCCTTTCACAGCAGAATTTCTGGTGAATTATAATATTCACTGTGTATTCCCTTAGCTTCCCTTCTATTCCAGTGAAACAACTGTGGTCATGGTCACCAGAAGCCTACTTGTTGCCAAATACACTGTCTATTTCTATTTTGACTTTTTTTTTAAAGATTTGTTTATTTATGCATACAAGAACTGGGGTACAGGCACGGGGTGGGTGGGATTCACCAGAGACAGAGTGGGGAGTAGAAAAGGCAAATATATTGAAATAAATGGCTGAGGGTCGCAATGACTTAGTTGTTAGCTAAGCCATATGTGGGTTGTTAGTTACCTGGTGGGGTCAAACTCAGGTTGTAGAGGTGATAGTACTGAGACTCAACCCCTGGGCCACCAGGGAAGTCCCTAACAGACATTGTAAACTCAGCATAGTCTAAACAAAATTATTAATTTCTGCACAAACTGTACCCCAACATACATAGGCTTCCATATTTCAGTAGAAGTCACTACCATGTTACCAGTTACTCCAGCCAAAAAAAAAATCCAAAAGTCATCTTCAATTCCCATGCCACTCCTCAACATCTAACAAGTAAGCATATCTCTACTGTTGATTTAGAGAATAAAAAATAATTTCCCAAATCTTTCATTTTTCATCATTTCTATTATTAGTTTAATTCAGACCATAATCTTTTTAGCAGCTCTACTAAAACTGTATGCCCTCCTCTCTTTACCACAGTCTGTTTTGCTCACAGTAGATGATTGGTTTGTAAAATTTTTTATATGAAATATTTAAGGAATTTCTGTGTCATCCTTATGCTGGGTACATGCTAATCTGTGTTTCATTCTTTATATGTACTTGAATTTCTCCAGTGTTTTTTTCACTATTTCAGATGGCAGTTCAAACTGCCAAAACGACTTGGCCCCTGCTTACTTCACCAAATTGATCTGGTGCCTCTTACTATGCTTCAAACATGCTGGCCTTCTTTTGCTTGCGTATGATGATCTTGTTCCTGCACTAGATTTTTTGTGCCAACAAATCACTTGGCCTAGATCTTTATGTAATGACTCCTTGTCACTTAGATTACAACTTTATAATGTCTCTTTATCAGAATGGTCTTTCCTGTTCACAATTTCAAGTAGCTCCTGACCTCTGTCACACTATAAGCTGAT